TGTTAATAATAATAATAAACAGTAATGAGAATGCATGGGAATGAAAAAGTCTGAAAGTGAAACTAATTAGTCTCACTAAATTCTCTATGACTGGATTTTATTTTGCTTTTAAATAATTGGTTTTAAAAATCTCATGAGATTGCATAGCAGTAATTTAGGGTTGAATTTGGGTGAAAACACCATCTATGATCAAAAATAAAATGAAATCAAGTGTGAATCAGATTTAAAGGAACATTGCTGAGGAAAGATTGTCAAACTGCTTGCTCTGAATAATATTCATAATGAAAATAACTTTATCTAGTTAGCAAATCATTTGTGAATTAATGTTGAATTCTGTGATGCACTCATTTTATATAAGTATTGGCCAAATAGTTATGATGAATAATGTTCAGATAAAATGTTGTTTGCAAATAGTTCACTTTGATTATTTAGAATTTGTTATTATTCATGGTGTGTGATTGGTCATGTGGTATCATTTCCGCTCTATGATTGGGTGACAATTTTTTAAAAAGGAAAGAATAAGAAAGAAAAAACCTGTGGTTTGAATTTTCAGATATACAATCATTTGTGCTATGATTTGTGAAACATTTGGAATTCACAAACATTTCGGAAATATGCTTGAGAATAACGAATAAAATGTCCCCATTAGAGTTGAGTGGAACATCATAGTTTCCATCTCACAGGAAATTCCTGTATTTCAACACTTGTTTTCATACCAAATCACACAAGTCAAAATATCAAAATTTTTCACAGAAGGAAGAGTTCAGAAAAATTTTGATTTAGAAATGTCGAAACATTTCATTCTGACAGTTTTTCAATCAAAATGAAATGTCTCAATAGTCCCAAATCAAAACATTTCATTTCAGTGTGTTGAACTGAATCAGAAATGTTTTGTTTTGAGTCCATTTGACATTAAATTGCTTCCGCCTCATAGTGCCTCAGCGGAGTTGTAGTCTGGGTGCCTCTTGTCCCTCTTCTTCCCTGTGGACTGGGCTCTCTAGCTAAAGTACATCTCCTATGATGCACCACATGACTCAGTCAGAGGAGAGACTGAAGTGCATGATGGGAGATACAGTCTTGCCAAGGAGCTCAGACTGGAAGAGAGAATAAGGGAGTGATGTACCCAAACTACAAGTCCCATAAGGCTCCATCCACAGCACTTTAGGCAAATGTAGTTTAATGTCAAATTGACTCAGAACAAAATATTTTTGTTCAGTTTGGGTCTAACTGACTTGATACAAAATACATTGTTTCAATCTTCCTGTAAGAAAAAAAAAATCAGCCAATAGAAATTTTCCTGGGGAAACTGCATTTTCAAGTGAAAAATCACTTTGATAGAAAATTCCTGACCAGAAATCCTAGTAAACAAAAAAGTACAAAAACATGACTGACAAAAAGACACTTCAGAATTCGAAAATTAAGAAAAAGCATACACATCTTTTTTTCTCCCTATTTGTCCAGCACAGGTTGTCTCATTATAGGTAAAAAGCAAGCGTACAAATTGGTAGGACTATCAATTCACATATAGAATCATAGAATCATAGAATATCAGGGTTGGAAGGGACCCCAGAAGGTCATCTAGTCCAACCCCCTGCTCAAAGCAGGACCAATTCCCAGTTAAATCATCCCAGCCAGGGCTTTGTCAAGCCTGACCTTAAAAACCTCTAAGGAAGGAGATTCTACCACCTCCCTAGGTAACGCATTCCAGTGTTTCACCACCCTCTTAGTGAAAAAGTTTTTCCTAATATCCAATCTAAACCTCCCCCACTGCAACTTGAGACCATTACTCCTCGTTCTGTCATCTGCTACCATTGAGAACAGTCTAGAGCCATCCTCTTTGGAACCCCCTTTTCAGGTAGTTGAAAGCAGCTATCAAATCCCCCTCATTCTTCTCTTCTGCAGGCTAAACAATCCCAGCTCCCTCAGCCTCTCCTCATAACTCATGTGTTCCAGACCCCTAATCATTTTTGTTGCCCTTCGCTGGACTCTCTCCAATTTATCCACATCCTTCTTGTAGTGTGGGGCCCAAAACTGGACACAGTACTCCAGATGAGGCCTCACCAATGTCGAATAGAGGGGAACGATCTCGTCCCTCGATCTGCTCGCTATGCCCCTACTTATACATCCCAAAATGCCATTGGCCTTCTTGGCAACAAGGGCACACTGCTGACTCATATCCAGCTTCTCGTCCACTGTCACCCCTAGGTCCTTTTCCGCAGAACTGCTGCCTAGCCATTCGATCCCTAGTCTGTAGCTGTGCATTGGGTTCTTCCGTCCTAAGTGCAGGACCCTGCACTTATCCTTATTGAACCTCATCAGATTTCTTTTGGCCCAATCCTCCAATTTGTCTAGGTCTTTCTGTATCCTATCCCTCCCCTCCAGCGTATCTACCACTCCTCCCAGTTTAGTATCATCCGCAAATTTGCTGAGAGTGCAATCCACACCATCCTCCAGATCATTTATGAAGATATTGAACAAAACCGGCCCCAGGACCGACCCTTGGGGCACTCCACTTGATACCGGCTGCCAACTAGACATGGAGCCATTGATAACTACCCGTTGAGCCCGACAATCTAGCCAGCTTTCTACCCACCTTATAGTGCATTCATCCAGCCCATACTTCCTTAACTTGCTGACAAGAATACTGTGGGAGACCATGTCAAAAGCTTTGCTAAAGTCAAGAAACAATACATCCACTGCTTTCCCTTCATCCACAGAACCAGTAATCTCATCATAAAAGGCGATTAGATTAGTCAGGCATGACCTTCCCTTGGTGAATCCATGCTGGCTGTTCCTGATCACTTATGCCTAAACAAATATTACAAAAGCGATGTTTGGACTGCCTCTAAGGCAGCAGGTGTAGAGTAATGAAAGATGATTGTGTCTCTATACTATTATAAGAATGTGACTGGCCTGCCACTATCTGTGAGAGACATATTTATTTGTGCCAGAAGAGCCCCTTATTTATAGTTAAATATGTTTTTTTTTTTTGGTCTGTACAAACAACCCTCCTACAACAGGTTACGAAATGTATTAAATCACCCCAGAAAAATGCAATCACTTTTTCCCACAATTAAGAGATTGATTAAGCTGTTTGTGTCTCCATTACATAAAAAGCCCAATTAGCTCACATTCTGTGTCACCAGGTCACATTGTGATGTGCACATTTCAAATGTCTCTCTTGGTCACCTCCAATAGCTGAGACCAGCTTGTTTTTTAACAGTAAAAAATGTCTCATATAAAATCTCATTACCCCAACGATTATCTTTGACACCTTGGATAAGCCTAGTCTTGTTACCATAATAATTATGAATTCACACCAAGTCCCATTTCAGTTCAGAGAGGGCATGGTTTTGAAAGGCAGATACAATCACATTAGAAAAACTGAATACCACCTGCTATAGAATTTTATTGTGTTTGTCCGTTATTATACCGGCCCTATGCATCACGCGTATGCTGTGAATCCATCATGGCACCACTGTTAGTTATTTCAGCTCTGGCTGTTAGGCCACTACTTGGCAGGCAAAAAAATTACTGACAAGGGCAAGTAACCCTCTACAAAGGAATGGAAAACAGATGGAAAATTATGTAATAGAGACTTCCAACCTTAGCAGAGCTCCCACTGGAATGACTATAATAATCAATTATCATTAATCAGCATTATTATTAATAAGAAAATAATTTATAGCACCACACATTTACACTTAAGCCTTGATTCTGCAATCTACTTCTTCTACATACCTTTGTTAGGGTTGCCAACTTTCTATTTGCAGAAAACTGAACACCCCTGCCCCGCCCCTGCCTCAAGGCCAAGTCCCTGCCCTGCCACTTCTCCGAGGCCCCGCCCCTGCTCACTCCATCTCCCCTCCCTCAGTTGCTTGCTCTCCCCCACCCTCGCTCACTTTCACTGGGCTGGGTCACGGGGTTGCAGTGCAGAAGGGGGTGCGGATGTGACTGTTTTCCCTTGGGGTGCCACCTGGAACTGGGGTTCCATTGAGCCCTCTGACCCACCAGCCTGGGCTCCCTCTCACACTATGCTGCTGTGACAAGCTGAACACATGCTCCCGGTCTTACACTTCCACCAGCATACACACAGGTAGGGACACATCCAGCTGCAGTTACATGCAGGCTCTCTCACCAGCCACTGCATGTGAACCAACAATAGAGAGGCTACAGCCAAAATAACTCCCAGCTTCCCAGCCTAGGACCCCAGAGCGGTATTGGCCTGCCCTGGTTGAAACCCCAAACAGTATGAATTTATTATCCAGTTCACCTCCCCCTCAATGTGGAGAGGAATATGCAACAGCCCCTCTGAGCTAAGATTCCCAAACGCTTCACTCCAACTCACTGGTTTGATAAAGCAAAAACAAGTTTATTAACTACAAAAGATACATTTAAAGTGATTATAAGTGATAGCAAACAGATCAAAGGAGATTACCTAGCAAATTAACAAAACACAAACTAAGATACTAGAAAGATGGAATTTGAATAGCAGATTCTCACCCTAACTGATGGTACAGGCAGACCCTTAAGGCACAAGCTGCCTTAGTTTTACAGCTTGGGTTTCTCAGGTCTTCATACACAGGCTAGAAATCCCTTTAGTTCCCCCAGTTTAGTCTTTTTCCTCAGGTGTTTCCAGAAGTCTTCTTGTGTGTAGAGTGTAGCATCACAAAATGATGTCACTCCCTGCCTTACATAGATTTAGCATATGGTGGGAACCCTTTGTTTCAGAACTTGGTTCCCAGACTAGTTTGTGGAAAAACACTGACATCCCAAGATGGAGTCCAGAGACATGACCTTGCATACCTTGCTGAGTTATAGCAGCCATTACTTACAAGTTGTCTGGAACGTTCACAGAAACAAACATGCTTATTAATTGTTTACAAAAACATGTTTCCTTTTGTGTTATAGTTTCTCCGTAAATTCCGCAGGGCAGTTTTGGTCATCCAGGTCATTCGCAATCTCATTAAAATGTACAGGTAAGGCTTCCTCTGTGGCAGATGGAAATGAAACCCTGCAGGTAACATTAACAGAGATCAAACTGAACAGGTTTTTTTAAATATTTGATTTACACTTAGTCACTCCTGAAAAGATGAGCAGAAAGCAGTGTAAGTAGAGGGAAGCAAATAATGATGTGATTAACATTACATAATAAAAAGTTCCCTATTCACATCTGTCAGAGAACATTTTATATTTCATATTTCTATCCATAATTTAGAGCCAGGCTGACAATTTGCAAAAAACAAATTTATGCAGAGAATTTGATTTCTTTTTGGGTTTGGGTATTACCTTGCTTTTTACAAATGCAGCCATTATTTATAATTGTTCCATAAATTGTTTGTGTAAACAAATATCAAACTATCATTGTTTGTGAATTATTCACAGTATTTGTGTGAGTATCCCCCATTTGTGCAGCACGACTGGTCATCTGAGTCACATGGTAATGTTTCAGTTTTCTTAAGTGGGTTCTCAGCAAAGCACTTAAGTATGCACTAAACTTTAAACACGTGCATAAGGCCCATTGTAGACAATAGTCATTCGGGACTTAAGCATGTGCTGAATAAGGGCCTGGATCAGTTGCTGTAATTTTAAGGAACTAATTTAGCTTTTGCCAGAATAATTTTTGTTTTGTCATGAAGCAGGTTTAGCTTTTTGATTAAATAAATGTGTTCTGAGGCAAAAATTCCCTTTCTGAAAACATTCGTATTATTGCCCCTTTGTCCCAAGAAGCGACCAGCCAATAACTGGGGTCTTGTGGGTTGTATTTGTTAGGAGGAGAAATTGATTATATTAGTCAGATATTTCTTTGGTGCAATCCTGTTTATTTACAAAAAAAAAAAAAAAGTATGCAAAGTCCTGTTTCCCTGAAATAGTGGGAACAAACAACAGCAGTTTCCTTGCTAATAATTTCCAAGCCTGCCTTTCCAGAGAGTCATGTGTCCGAGGAGTTCTGTCTCTTTGTTGCCTCTCAGGTCAACCCTCCTGTGGATGGCAAGAGTATTATTCTTCCAGTTCTCAGCCTTTCCGTCCTTCCCTCTCCCACACCCACCCTTTGCCAAATAATCCTCTAGCCCATGTGTTTGTCTTAAGTCCCAGGGAAATCTCTCAGACCAAACAGTTTAGACTTGTTCAGAGACTTGCCATGCAGCCAGTTGCCTTGGACAGTAGTTTCTGTTGTCTCTAGCTACCTCACTCCATAAAGGGACTTAATTACTCCTTCCATTTAGCCAGAAAAAAGGGTGGTTAGCACACTGATCAGCTTTAATGAGGTTTGTGATGCAGCCATTAACACCGTCCATCACAACAATATGAATTAACCATTGCTCTCAGGGATGCTTGTGAAAAATGAGCATAAAAATAGGTGAAACAAGGTTACATTCATATGTGGTTCAGAATTTGCAATGACTAGAGATGGTTGGGAATTTTCCATTGGAATGATTTTCTGATGGAAAACGGAGTTTGCACAAAAAAAGAAATGTTCCAAACATTTTGATTTTCCTTTACAAAAATCAGCATGAAATATTGCATTTCTGGCTAGTTTGACCTGAATCAGAATATGGTATTTTGTTGAACTGACCTGAAATGTTTAGTTTTGAATCGGTTAAAAAACCATTAAATTGCATTTCCCTATCAACACATTGCCTTTTGGGAGATGTAGACCAGCCAGGGAGCCAGTCCCTTAGGGGAGAATGGGGGCATCAGGTTCCTGAACTACAGCTCCCATAAAGCAGTGGGCAGTTATGGGAAAATGTAGTTTAATATTGAACTGACTCAGAACAAAGCATTTCAGTTCAGCTCAATAAGCCAAAATGAAACATTTTTATTTCAGGAATGTGAAAATGTTTCATTTCGATCACAAATGTTGAAATAAAACATTTTAACATTGCTGAATAGAAATTTTTTGGAATTTCTGTTCTGCGAAAAATGTGAAATTTCAGTTTTTCATTCCAATTTGTAATGAAAACAAATGTTGCAATGTTGGAATTTCCCACAGAATGGATATTCCAAATTTCAGTCAGCTTTAACAATAACATGTTTATACTTTTTCACCCAGCTGCCTATAGCTTTAATTGTATTTATTACATCATTACATATAGGTTTTATAGACATGAGTTTGGGATGACTGCATACCTCACAAATTGTCACACTGTATTACTCTTTTGGTCAGTGGCCATCTTTTCATTAAGTGTGGGGAGGCACCAGTTCCTGACTGGGACTTCCAGGTATTATGACAAAACAAATAATAATACTATTCATAAGTTTATACACAATAAATTTTACACAATATCATCATGTTTGCTCTCTCTTTCTAACTATCATGTATCTACCCACACATACACATTTATAGAACTATTTCTCTCTCTCTCTCCTTATCACCTACAAAAGTTCAGAAGAAAGTTTTTTAGGATTACCCTGTTCAATTCTTTTTGACTGAGTCTTGAAAGATTACTTGCTAAACTCTACTGAGATCTTGTGCTAGTCAGAGCCAGTATTAATCCGAAGAAAAAGCTAACTGGAAAAGCTAAATATGAAAGCTCTCCAAGGACTCTAAGCGCCGAAAGCCTAGAGAGAGTCCAGGATCAGTGGACTCAAAATCTAATTTTCCTGAAGAAGGATCTAACCAGATGGGGAAAAAGTTTTCTACTGGTATCACCTTTTAAAGTACCATTCTATCACCAACAGAGCTTTTAAAGGTTTTTAAGGTTTCAGAGTAGTTTTTTAAATAGCCACAGAGACCTTCGTTCACACTAATGACAGTTTTCAGAGTAGCAGCTGTGTTAGTCTGTATCCGCAAAAAGAAAAGGAGTACTTGTGGCACCTTAGAGACTAACAAATTTATTTGAGCATAAGCTTTCGTGAGCTACAGCTCACTTCATTGGATGCATTCAGTGGAAAATACAGTGGGGAGATTTATATATAGAGAGAACATAAAACAATAGGTGTTACCATACACACTGTAACCAGAGTGATCACTTAAGGTGAGCTATTACCAGCAGGAGAGCAGGGGGGAGGCGGAGGAGGAAAAACCTTTTATAGTGATAAGCAAGGTGGGCCATTTCCAGCAGTTGACAAGAACGTCTGAGGAATAGTTGTGGGGGGCGGGGGAATAAACATGGGGAAATAGTTTTACTTTGTGTAATGACCCATCCACTCCCAGTCTCTATTCAAGCCTAAATTAATTGTATCCAGTTTGCAAATTAATTCCAATTCAGCAGTCTCTTGTTGGAGTCTGTTTTCAGGGGACACCATCATAGGGCCTAATCACATCAGCCACACTATCAGAGGGTCAGTCACCTGCACATCTACCAATGTGATATATGCCATCATGTGCCAGCAATGCCCCTCTGCCATGTACATTGGTCAAACTGGACAGTCTCTACGTAAAAGAATAAATGGACACAAATCAGACATCAAGAATTATAACATTCAAAAACCAGTTGGAGAACACTTCAATCTCTCTGGTCACTCGATTACAGACCTAAAAGTGGCAATACTTCAACAAAAAAAACTTCAAAAACAAACTCCAACGAGAGACTGCTGAATTGGAATGAATTTGCAAACTGGATACAATTAACTTAGGCTTGAATAGAGACTGGGAGTGGATGGGTCATTACACAAAGTAAAACTATTTCCCCATGTTTATTCCCCCGCCCCCCAAAACTGTTCCTCAGACGTTCTTGTCAACTGCTGGAAATGGCCCACCTTGATTATCACTACAAAAGGTTTTTTCCCCTCCCCCCCGCACTTCTGCTGGTAATAGCTCACCTTAAGTGATCACTCTGATTACAGTGTGTATGGTAACACCCATTGTTTCATGTTCTCTATGTATATAAATCTCCCCACTGTATTTTCCACTGAATGCATCCGATGAAGTGAGCTGTAGCTCACGAAAGCTTATGCTCAAATAAATTTATTAGTCTCTAAGGAGCCACAAGTCCTCCTTTTCTTTTTGTGAATACAGACTAACACGGCTGCTACTCTGAAACCTTAAAATAGTTTGCGAACCCTGTAGTGGGGCTCATCATGTTTTTATCTTAGAAGCCACCAGAAATCAGTCAGAGCAGCAGTTTGTACATAGCTAGGCCTGGCACATTTGGGTATACTTAGTAAATACAGTTATCTGAGACCCAGTTGTGCCCAAGTGGTTTCTTCCCATTCAGGGCTGCCTCTAGATTTTTTGCCGCCCCAAGCAAAAAATTTGCCACCCCAACTGCCCAAGCGAAAAAAAAAAGAAAGGATGGCTGGAATGCAGCCCCTGGAATTGTGCCACCCGAAGCACGTGCTTGCTTTGCTGGTGCCTAGAGCTGGTCCTGTTCCCATTGTTTTTGTTGTGTAAGGAGCAAAAGACACAATAGGAACAGATATAGACCTGCACAATGTGTGAGATTTTTTGAGGAAAGCAGACACTTTCCACAAAGATGTTTGTTTAATTGAAAACCAAACTTCCAGCTGAAAAAACCTTTTGATAGAAAATTTTAGACCCTTCCAATTAAATATGGACTTGGGGGCCTAACTTTAGGCACTCAATTTTCAAAAATTTGGCCCAAGTTTCATTCCTCAGATCCCTAATCCCAAATCCTAGCTCTCTCTACCCAACGCTACTTCCATCTCCCTCATTACCCCAGTGGGGTGTCAAGTCAGCTGCACCCCTGCATGATCAAAACTCACATAACTCTTCCCAGCAGAATCATCATATGCTATCACAGTGTAGTTTTCAGGCAAACGCTACCAGTTCTATATTAAAAACTTCATGCTATTCACAGACACATTCAGAACCTTCTGTTTGTTTAGTTAAATCTTGCTTTCTTGCTTTTTTTCTTCCAGTAAATCTGGAAGTCTCTATTTTGGGATTTAGCATTTTCTCAGCCATGTCTGTACAGATTAAAGCTAATATTAATTGACAAGGAAGGGCTATATCCTATGCTAAATGTCAATTATTTGTGTAATGAGGAGGGTGCAGTGAATAAGGTTACCCCTTTCTTTGGATATTGCTGAATATAAGCTTTAAAGCAAGGTTTTGAGATTACTAGAATGTTCATTTATGTTTCATGCAGATAATTTTGTATGGGTGTTTATGTTGCTGTTGTTTTAATTGCAGGGACTATGCAGAATCTAGAGCTGAACTGTTATCCTTTTCTCAGCTACAGTTCACTGGATCCAGGACAGAGACTGAAAACCTCCTTTTTGACTGTTCTTATTTTAAAGCTAAAGTAGAGGTACTGTATGCAACCCATGTGTAAATAAGGGGTGGATAATTGGAGTTTGCATTTGAAAGGCCTGATCCTGCAAAGACTTGCACACGTGAGTCATTTTGCTGATGTGAGCAGTTCCTGCTATGCAGACAGTTCAATAGAACTACTCAAGTGATTCACATGCAGAGGTCTCTAGAGGAACAGGTCTTAAAACAATGCATTTAAGGGACGCACTCATAAAATCAATGGTGTTAGAAGCACAGCTTTGTGAGCATTATAATTTCCAGGTGTGACAAAGGCTTGGGGAGCCTTTGGGAAAACTCTTCGAATTTGTGAGATTTAGTCGAGTCTGTGCTCCTTACTGAAAATAAACCCCCAAAACCCTAGAGATTGAAGAATAACTGTAGAATGAGAGGTTTCAGAGTAGCAGCCGTGTTAGTCTGTATCCGCAAATAGAACAGGAGTACTTGTGGCACCTTAGAGACGAACAAATTTATTTGAGCATAAGCTTTCATGAGCTACAGCTCACTTCATCGGATGCATGCATTTTCCACTGCATGCATCCGATGAAGTGAGCTGTAGCTCACGAAAGCTTATGCTCAAATAAATTGGTTAGGCTCTAAGGTGCCACAAGTCCTCCTGTTCTTTTTGTAGAATGAGTCTTCCAAACTACCTTGACTAGATGATAATTCTGCTTCTGAAAACCCTCTATTCTGCTCAGTGTAAAGCCTCTGAAAATTAAAGGTGACCTGCAGAAAAAAGTAGTACATTACACTGACCTCACTAACGTGTACCAAATGTTGCTACCAGCCACTCTCAGTGGGTGGATAGTGGCCATTCATGCAGGCCCTGATTCAGCAAAGCATGTAAGCATATGCTTAACTTTAAACATGGAGTAGTTCCATTAACTGCCATTGGGATGGGATTCATTCTTCCCAGCAGAATTGCTACCCTTTGAGGTTGAGATTTTTCAAAGAACCTTGGAGAGTTAGGCACCAAAATTCCATTAAGAACAGAGCACCTAACTCCTGTAGGTATCTTTGAAAATCCCAGCCTTAGACTGATACCTAACTTTGATTAGTTACCAATACCTGATGCTTCTGAGGAAGGCACATTACCTGTTAATAGGGTGGGGTGTGGAAATATGCTGCACCAGGCCACCGGTGCTATGCTTTATCATAAGAAGAAAATTCCCTTCTCTGCTCTAAGAAGCAACCAGCTCATGCCTTAAAGCATGAGAGCTGATTTCTGACCTCACTCACATATATGTAAACTTAAATTATGTACCTCACTGGCCTCCCAAACACAATGGATTGCACAGCGTGATCAGTACCTGTAACTAATTGATTGGGGCTCGCTCTTCCCCCTCTCTTCTCTCAGACAACTATCAGCCATGAAGCTCAGGCCATCCTCTCAGAACCACCAGAAAACCGAACCTCAGAAGGCATCAAGCTGGTAAGGTTTGAGAAAGCTGAGTTGTTGATGAAAGTGACGTGGGCCCCTGTGCTTCCAAGTATCGATATGGATCCTAAATTTCCTAAAGTACCGGGGTGTTTGGATCCAGGCCAAAACATAAAGTGTCAGTTCTTCAGATATAACCCTTCTGCCCATCAGAGTTGGCAGCAAAAAGGGCCGGGTTCAGCATCTAGGGGTTCCATTCCAATAACACAATGCAAAACCAGCTCAAGCCCCCACCCAGTGACCTGGGACAAATATATACCATCCCTGCTGGGCGCCTCTAAGAGGCAATACTTCCCCTCTCGCAAGCACAGAGTCTGAGTGTAGCAAAAGCCTTTTAATAACAGAGAGAAACAATTTCACAGAGAGGCATTATATTGGGGAAACACCACCAACAGGATTCATAACACAACCCATGAGCAAAAAACCCACCCCGAGCAAATTGGGGTGTGTCCCTTCCCTTTGGTTCTTGAGTCCAGCAACCCAAAGTCCCAAAAGTCCAACAACCCAAAAGTCTCTGTCCCTGGTCAGTGCAGCACCAGAGTTCAAAAGTGTATCTGCAGAGTTTTTCCTCCCAACCTCGGTGGAGATGGGGGGGAGGTTAAGGGGCACCTTACATGGTCCGCAGCCAATTGCCCCACCTCTCCATGGGGCTCCGCTCTGCTTCACCAGCCATCCCACGAATCACTCCACTCTGCCAGCCTCCCCCATGAGCCGCTCCAGCCATCCCCGTGAACTGCTCTGCTCTCCATCCCATGAGCCACTCCAGCTGTCCCACCAACTGCTCCGCAATATATCTTCAGGCTCCCCCACTACTTAACACAACGCTCAGTGATTTCAGCTCTTAGTAAATTCAGCTGTTTTGTGATTTCAGCTTGTAGTAGGGGAGTCTCAGTGCTGGTGCACCATTTACCCAAAGTGAATTCAGCTCGGTAGCCTTTAATTAGACTGCTAATAGAATCAAAATTAGCTCTGATATTCCACAGTGGAGAGAGGAAGAAGTGCAATTAGCGTGTAAGGCCCTTACCGGGGAACCTATACCACCAGCCATTAATACCTATCCCCAACCTCTCTCCACTCACTGGGAGTTGGAACCCATGCCCCTTGCCTAGCGAGTGCTACTTAGTTGATGGTGAGTCCCTCCAGCATAACAAAAGGCCAAGTACAGTTCCACTGTTCTTGATTCGCATAATCAGGATAATAACAATTTATTCTTCCTGCCCCAATAACAAAGAAACTGGGGATCCCACAGCAGCCAAAGTGACCATTTGGGCAGCTATGGGCTCATGCTAGATGGGGTGGGTGTGTCTATGCAAATGAGATCAGCCCCTGAAGTTCTTTTCCACAACTTGCCACAACTCATCACCAGATGTCAGGGTGGAGTTCATCCTGACTCTGCTTACACAGATGTTGTAAATTGGCATAGCTCTGTTGACTTCCGTGGAGTTACTTCAGTTTATACCACTTGGCTCAAGGCACTGATTCTGGCTTTGAATTTCTCCCCAGTTTTGGGTTGGTTCATCTCTGAGGGGCTATGATTTGGTGAAAACCCTGCAAATAAAAAGAGAGAGAGAGATTGAAAATATCATTGGCAGAGAGTAGACTAGAAGCAGCTGGCTCAGGCAGACTTATTCCGTTCAGATCAAACACAGAGCTATGGATGTTTGGAAATAACTCACTTTACTGTATATTTAACTTCAAGCTTTCCATTTGTTTGGAGGCAATCAGAGATTTGTGCTCAAACAAGGCTATTCTCACCCAGTTTTTATTCATGAAGCACAGTATTCATGAGGCACCACTATTGAACTGTCAGGCAGGCAGACATGCCTGGGTGTAAATGGAGTTGTTTTCAGAATGCAGCTCCCTTCATGAACCTAAATGTGTTCACAGAATAAAAAGTTGAAAACAAACCACAGTACAGTATGGGGTAGCCTTTAAACTAGCTCTGTTTATGGGGTGTGATAACTATTACACTACAGGATACTTCTGAGTTGCACTTGCCATAAAGGACTCTGATGTCTGCCATATACAGTCTCCAGGAGACCAGTTCTGTTCTGAGATTTGGAGACTTCCCTCTCCAACATAGTCTATAGAGATCTTCTATACTCAATAAGGGAAACACAAAAGTGTGTAATTTTTGCCCTACCATCTGTCACATTTCCTTTTGACCTGACTTGTTCTTTTTTTTTTTTAATTCCTCCTTAACTGACTGCTTATTTTCAAGCAAGTGCACATCCAGGTTTTATTTCTAGTATTTAAATCTCTAAATAATATAGTAGTGTCTACCTGTGGGGCTATCTATGGCCTCATGTCCCACCATGGCTAATAAGATCAATTGCAGTTGTGAGGCAAACCCACAGCTATACCAGACCTGCTCACCCAGCTGCCCTTCCAGCAGAGCTGCAGTGAGCCACCACTCAGGCATGCAGCAACAATCCAGTTGAACTAATTCTTCCCAGGGAGCCTGCAGTGACTCAGCCTTCAGGCAGGTGGCAGCAGCCTATCCTGGAGCAGAGCCTGGGTCAGAGGACCCCCCAGGCTCAGGTATTTCCCCGCCTTGTCAGAATTGCAGATCAGGAGGCAGTGCCTGACAGCAGTGGGGATATAAGATGATAAGACTATAACTATTTGAGTTGGAATTTGGCCAAGACATTGTGCTACCACCTGTACTCTTGTGAAGAATATCTTTGGATTTTAGTGCTAACCTTTGAGAAGCGGGGCATTGTGGAAGGTGCTCAACACCTGAAACTTTCATTAACATTCATTGGCCTTTGGGCCTCACCCCCCCAAGGTGCTGGCCGCTATTAAGGACATGTTTGGCATCCTCAACTTCCACTGACTTTAGCACTTTGCATGGTGTAGTCCATGGGGTCTCAGCCCGGAGGACATGACCACTCTATACTACCTTTATTGCTAAATGAGAAGGAGTGTCAGAGAGAGGCTGAGTAGATGGTAGCAGGGGTCCTAGGAAGGGGGGTAGTTATCTCAGTATAGAAAAGAAGATCTTGGTATGGAAAAGATTGAGAACTATTGATCTAGGCCAAGATTTCCAAATATGACTAATGATTTTAATTGCCTCAATTTTTGGAAGCCCAGCTTGAGAGCCCATAGAGAGGCTTGGATTTTCAGAAAGCACAGAGCACCTGTCCTCTAAAAATTTAGGCCCATTTTCAGGTTTCAAGTTGGTTATCCAAAGACTGACACACCCCAAATCACTAGTCATGTTTGAAAAGGTTGGCCACGCTTCTTAACAACCACAATCATGGCTTTATGTCTCTTATTACTATTCCCTCTGATATTAAAAGAAATGCAGACATGTAGCACTGTGCATATACGTATATCAAAATCCAGAGATGAAATATGAAAAGTCAGAATTTGTGAACAAAAAATTATATTACTGTTACTGAAACCTTAAAATGGTCATTTTTTGTTTTCATGCTTTCTTCCAATATAAAAGATTCTAAAGCATTGGACACTCATGGTCCACAACACTGTATTAACATCACTGTAAAGTATAGCATTTACGACTGACTATAAAATACCGTGTTTTTGTTTTAATTTAATAATGGTTGTAAGTACCGTAAATACGATTGTGAGTCCAGTAATATCCACAACCATTGGCAGAAGGCTTTTCATCCCTCTCATGGAAATGAGGCTTCCTTGGACCACACAGGAGCTGTTCAACACCTTGTAGGAATTGGCTCTAAGGGGCATCATTGTCCTGTATCCCTCTTTCTGACAACTAGGCTGGGGGAAGGGGACTGTAGGTCAGACAGAAGCATCTCCTGAGGAATAACCCTGGAACAGGGGGCCTCCATGCCAGGTTTAGAGTTAGGGTTGCCAGTTCTACACTGGCTTTGAAGCAGCCTCAGCGCAAGGGGTGTCCCTGGGCAGGGTGAAGGTGGGGTGAAGCGTAAGAGGGAGAGTTTAGATCATAGGCAGGAGGAAGCAAGGCTGGAATGTTCCCAGGCCCCACTGGTTATAGGCTGCCCTCACCTCCACCAAGTCTGCACCAGCCCCCACAAACTCTAAATAGCTGTAGCCCGCCTCCCACTTGGTCTCTGAACTAGCGCTAGTGATGGCCAGATTACTTTCTGTGCCTTAAAGCCTTGTAATTTCTCCTTTTTAAGGCCTGATCTTCTGAAGTGCTGAGCACCTCCCATGAGGAGCTGAATACTCTTGACTCCCTCTGAGCGCCCCTTGCAGGATCAAACTTTCATGAAATGTTCGTTCACACAGGCAAAACTGCATCCGTTTGCACACGTCAGTTCCCTGTTGACTCCCAGGAGAACAATCACACTCACCACTGCTCTTCGCCTTCTCCCACAAACTCCGTGCTAGTATATCTGAACAGTGCAATTCATTGAATCCCACTCCCTCTATTTCTTTCCCCAATTGTAGGCCATGCTGTCTTTGCAGGCAACGGTCAGCACTTTCTCTGAATACCCAGTCCACATCCAGGAAAAACTGGCTCAGATGGGTTGGTATGAATGGTAAGTTTGCTGTGATGTCACTGGAGATGAAAGTAAATGTATGGCAATTCCCATGGACTTCAGTGGGTGCTGAGGAAACATAGCTGATGGCAGAATTTCATCTTGAATAGGCAAAAGATTAAGGGAAAACAGGCAGAGAAGCAGAAAACAGGAATCAAGGAGAGGTAGTATATAAAGGAATAGGCAGTCATTAACAATTGACAGAGATGAAAACAAAGGAGGCAAGTGCTGTGAAATTCACTAAGTAGGCATGAGTTAAAATAATTAATTGAATGACTCGGAACCCTCAAGATCTGCACATGAGCTAGTTCTAACTATGTAGCAATGTGCTCTCGTTGCTGTTACTTTTGTTCTTTCCTTCTTGTTATTTGATATGTCTCGTCACATCTCCTCTTAAATTAGGCCCCAATTCTGCAACTGGGTCTGCGATGGTGGACATTTTTATTCCACTCAGTGGGGAAGTACCAAATAACATGAGACTTATGACAAAATCATGAAAGCTGGCAAACGGTTTGCCCAGGCAGACCAGACTGCAGGATTTGGGCCTAAGATTAGAACCTTTTCAGGCCAGGGACCAGGTCTTCCTATGTGTTCACAGAGAACCGAAACAACTGGATCCTGATTCTGACCTGGGTCTTTAGGCACTACCTCGACACAAACAACGTCATCAATAATCTAGCAATGATGTGTCTACAAAACCTTAGGACTGATTGAAGATGGTTGCAAACCATAACATTTAGTTCAAATTTAAACCCTTCTCCCTAGGTTTCAGTGTATTCTGTTTCAATGTTGCCAGCTCTCATGATTTTGTCATAAGTCTCATGTTATTTGGTATTTTCTTAAAGCTCAGGCCCCAGATTTCATTATCGTAGAATCATAGAATCATAGAATATCAGGGTTGGAAGGGACCTCAGGAAGTCATCTAGTCCAACCCCCTGCTCAAAGCAGGACCAATCCCCAATTAAATCATTCCAATTATAAAGAACTACGGCTGTCAAGCGATTAAAAAAATTAATCATGATTAATCGCACGATTAAAAAAATTAATATTGATAAATTGCATGATTAATCACACTGTTAATAAATATTTTTGGATGTTTTCTACATTTTAAAATATATTGATTTCAATTACAACACAGAATACAAAGTGTACAGTGCTCACTTAATATTAATTTTTGATTACAAGTGTTTGCACTCTAAAAAGACAAAAGAAATAGTATTTTTCAATTCACCTAATACAAGTACTGTAATGCAATCTCTTTATCATGAAAGTTGAACTTACAAATATAGAAATATGTACAAAAATACTGCATTCAAAAATAAAACAGTAAAATTTTAGAGCTTGCAAGTCCACTCAGTCCTACTTCTCGTTCAGCCTATTCCTCAGAAAAACAAGTTTGTTTACATTTGCAGGAGATAATGCTGTCTGCTTCTTGTTTACAGTGTCACCTGAAAGTGAGAACAAGTGTTCTCATGGCACTGTTGTAGCCGGTATCGCAAGATATTTACGTGCCAGATGCGTATGCTTCAACCACCGTTCTAGGGGATATATGTCCATGTTGATGATGGGTTCTGCTCAAAACCCATCCAAAGCAGTACAGAACAATGCATGTTTATTTTCATTATCTGAGTCAGATGCGACCAGCAGCATGTTGATTTTCTTTTTTGGTGGTTCGGGTTCTGTAGTTTCTGCGTCAGAGTGTTGCTCTTTTAAGACTTCTGAAAGCATGCTCCACACCTTGTCCCTCTCAGATTTTGGAAGGCACTTCAGATTCTTAAATCTTGGGTCGAGTGCTGTAGCTATCTTTAGAAATTGCACACTGTTAACTTTTTTACATTTTGTGAAATCTGCAGTGAAAGTGTTCTTAAAATGAACAACATGTACTGCGTCATCATCCAAGACTGTTATAACATAAAATATATGGCAAAATCTGGGTAAAACAGAGCAGGGGACATATAATTCTCCCCCAAGGAGTTCAGTCACAAATTGAATTAACGCATTATTTTTTAACAAGTGTCATCAGTATGGAAGCATGTCCTCTGGAATGGTGGCCAAAGCATGAAGGGGCATACGAATGTTTAGCATATCTGGCACATACATACCTTGCAATGCTGGCTGCAAAAGTGCCATGCAAATGCCTGTTCTCACTTTCTGGTGACATTGTAAATAAGAAAAGGGCAGCATTAGCTTCTGTAAATGTAAACAAACTTGTTTGTCTTAGCGATTGGCTGAACAAGAAGTAGGACTGAGTAGACTTGTAGGCTCTGAAGTTTTACATTGTTTTGTTTTTGAGTGCAGTTATGTGACAAAAAAAATCTACATTCGTAAGTTGCACTTTCAGGACAAAGAGATTGCACTACAGTACTTGTATGAGGTGAATTGAAAAATACTATTTCTTCTGTTTATCATTTTAAGTGCAAATATTTGTAATCAAAATATACACTTTGATTTCAATTACAACACAGAATACAAGATATATATGAAAATGTAGAAAAACATCCACAATATTTAATAAATTTCAATTGGTAGTCTCTTGTTTCACAGTGCAATTAAAACTGCTATGAATTGCGATTAATTTCTTAAATCACAATTAATTTTTTGAGTTAATGGCATGAGTTAACTGCGGTTAATTGACAGCCCTATAAAGAACCCAAAGTTTCTGTCTCACATGGTTGTGGAGTTAAGCCTACAAATATGACCCAAGTGCACCCTACAGGCTCAGAAGGAGGAAAGGCTGAATAGGAGGCAGGATGGTCTAGTGGTTAAAACACAAACCTGGGACTTGAGACCCAGGTTTAATTTCCTCCTCCACCATAAGGTGGCTATGTGACCTTGGGCAAGTCACTGAGTCTCTGTGCCTTAGTTCCCCAACTGTAATGGGGATGTTAGCATGGCCACCAGTGTTGTGAGGACAAAACATTTTAGCTTGTGAGGTGCTCACATACTATGGTGGTGGGGGGCCACCTACGTCCCTTGGATAGAAATAGCAATAAGTCCCTAATTATTATTTTTTAAAGTCTCACAATTTTCAAGCCAATCTCATGATTCTTCTGGGGCCTGGCTCATGATTTTTAATTACTCGGGATTAATAATACTGCAGCTTGGAACCCATCTCCAGTCGGTACCTATCTTTCTAAAAGACCCACAGCACAAACCACCTCCCATGGAGAATGCCCTCTTTTTTTTTCATTATATTTATTTAATTAAAAATTTATTTATTAATATTTTTTCATTAAATGTTGTGCCATTTTTCCTCCATGGATATAGTTTTTTTTCATTCTTATTTGTCACTCCAGTGAAGCAGAGTGGAATGAGCTATTTAGCCCTATAATAAAGTAACAATGAATGAGGCAAGAGGAGTGCTGAACTGGTGCTCTTATTTCAACAAAATCCATTCAGTGATTGCTTTCTCTTGTGAAGAGCTTTGCGCTATTATTTCACAAAATGACACCGTGAATATAATTGCTTTGATTCTGAACACTGGAAACTTACAGGTAACAAATCACTCTGCCCCCCCCCCCCAGTGAATAATAATTCAATTATTCAGTGGGCTTATAACAGTTTGAAATAGCCTATTCTCATTTCACAAACATCATATTTTCTGCTGGAAATAAACTGTTTCTGCAAAGTGAAATATTGGATCTATATATCTTAGCTCCTGTAAGCTTACTAATGGATGAACACATAACTACATGCCTTGGTATTTTTAATAATAGAGGGACTGCACAGATGCTGAGATGCTTGGTAGTCCATTTCCTTGATTCATATGTAGTCTGCCTATTTACTACCTGGTGCTGTTGTTTAGATCGAGATTTTGAAATTAAATTCAAGCAGTGATTTTTCATATAGCAAACCAGATTCTATTCTCAATTGCACCAGCATCCAGGCAGATCCACTGAGGACACTGGCATTACACCTAACTCAGGGTGATGAATTACACCAGTGAAACTGGATTCAGAATCTTGCCAAGTATCCAAGGAAATATCAACTGGGCATGAACCTCCTCTCACTTATGCTGGTATAAATCAGGGGTTAACACCATTTAACTCAATATAGCACAAAACTAGTACCTGTGAGCTCCAATGTGATGAAAGCTCAGCTCAGCTCAAAATTGGACATTCAGGGTAACATTTTCAAAGATATTTTAGGTGCCTAAAGATGCCGATGGGGACTTAGGGTTAGAGTGCCAAAAGCATTTAGGTGCCCAGCTACCACTTCAAGAACTTAAGTAAAAAAATTAGATCCTCAAAACCCCTGTTCAGGTGCCACCTAACACTGTAGGAGTCTAAAGTTCCTAGATTCCTAAGTTTCCACTGGTAAATCCCCCATGGCACCTACATTTATGCCAGTGGGCCAGAGATGCTGTCTTCCTAAGTTGCGGGGGCATGCTCGACCCCTGCTCTGCTCCAGGTCCCACCCCCACTCCACTCCTTTCCCCCAATCCCCCACCCATGCCCTGCCTCTTCCCGCTCCACCCCACCCCATTCTGCTCCTCCCCCAAGCGCATTCCACCCTCAATCCTACCCCTCCCTCCCCAGCACCTCCTACATGATGCTGAGCAGCTGATCCCCAGCAGGCTGGAGGTGCTGGGATGGAGAGGGAGGAGCTGACCAGCAGGGCTGCCGGTGGGTGGGAGGCACCAAGGGGAGGAGGAGGAGCTGATCGGGACGGGGGCTGCCGGTGGGTGGGAGGCACCAAGGGGAGGAGGAGGAGCTGATCGGGACGGGGGCTGCCGGTGGGTGGGAGGCACCAAGGGGAGGAGGAGGAGCTGATCGGGACGGGGGCTGCCGGTGGGTGGGAGGCACCAAGGGGAGGAGGAGGAGCTGATCGGGACGGGGGCTGCCGGTGGGTGGGAGGCACCAAGGGGAGGAGGAGGAGCTGATCAGGACGGGGGCTGCCGGTGGGTGCTGAGCACCTGCTATTTTTTTTCAGCTTGGTGGTGTAACAACTTGAACAGGAGAGATTGAGACTCACCCCAGAATAGCCTATAGGCCAGTGACTAGGGGTGCTCCCGTAGGAAGTAGGAGACCTTGGTTCAAGTCCCTGCTCCAGATCAGAGAGAGTGGGGTTTTGACCCTGTCTCTCTAACCTCCTGGATGAGTGCTCTGACTATAGGGCTATAAAGTATAAGGCAGGACACATCCTCCTCCATGCTTTTCATGAGAAAGGATTGACCCTGGCTTTGGCATCTAACTCCACGACAAGGTTCACAGCTGTGAATCCCGAGTGGAGTTAGGTGCTTAACTCCGTCTGAGGAATGGAGTTTAGGCCACAACCCTCTTCTCAGGATTTCCTATTGGCTAGATTAGGTGGCTCTCTGCTCAGCTTACTGCTTTTGTGAATCTCTTTCTTAGGTGCTTGACTCTCCCCATGCATTGTATAGGGAGCCTGGGCGCCTAACTCAGTTCCTGAATCAAGTCCTGAGTTCCACTAGGAGGCAGGGTACCTAAAAGTTAGGCTCAGTATTGCAATGCCTAACAGAGGCATTGATTTTACAATGTGCCGGGGGGTGCTAAACCCCTGCTCTGCCCCAGGCCCCATCCCCTCCCCACCTCTTCCTGCCCTGTTCCACCCCATCCCCCGAGCATGCCCCATCCCCTTTGCAGCATCTAACTGGATTTTCAAAAGCGCCTAGGCTCCTAACTCCCCACCTAAATGCCTTTAAAAAAATCTGGCCTAAAGTATTAAATCACTTTTGAAAATGGGGCTTATGCTCCTAAATCACTTAGGTATGCTTGCTTTTGAAAATAGTCTTGTGGTGCTGACACAAGTACAGTATATAACTTTATAACTTGCAGTAACAGAGTCCCACACTAAGAAAGTTTACTTCCATTGGTACCAAAGACTTGCATTAAGTGGCCACAAGAGATAACCACAATAAGGCTAAGGATGAATGCCTTTAAGGGAAGATGAGAAAAAATGAAAAAAGGAGGAAATTAAGCTCTATATCTACAAGTTTGATATCAAAAAGACTCAATTTTACTCTCCAGTATTCAGAGACACATCTCCATAAGTCTCAGAAAATCCACTCGAGCATGTGCATGCACAAGCATAATAGATTTTTCTAGGTATGTGGAAACACAAGCCCACATGTTATCAGGTAGAATCAAGCCCCAAAGGTTTTTCACCAGATTTTCAGAGGAAATGAGCTCCCACTGACATCAGCAGCAGTTGAGGTGCTCATCAGCTCTGAAAATCAGGCCATTTAATTTCTAATACTCCCATCATGGTACTAATACTTTGTTATACACTAATTTTAAGGCAAGGCGCTCTACAAACCTTAATGAAATCCCACAACTGAAGTATAAAGTAGGTAATTTTATCCCCATTTTACAAAGGGGTAAACTGAGGTCCAGAGAAGTCACTTGACTTGCTTATTGAAATGTGGCTAGTTGGCTGCAGAGAAGGGACTAGAGAACCCAGAAGTTCTAATCCCTGTCCACTTTGCGAGGGCCTGTTTTAAACCAATGGGACTATTTACATGCTGAAAGTTAAGCATGAGGGTAAGTCTTTTCAGAATTGATGTCTATACTTGTACTAAGAGCTATGATGTCCTGTTGTGGCAATTCTTTGCTTATTGTAGATTCATTTAACCAGAATACTCACCGCTGAATCAAGTCCTGGTTCCATTAAAGTTTATGGCAAAACTCCCATTTGAATTCAGTCTATGTATAGACACTTGCAGGTGTTTGTGTATATATATATATATATATACACACATACACACACACACAATTTTATGGACTTATTCTCAACCAGCATAAAACAAGGCATTTAACTATGACAATACCTGTTACAGAGCCTGCAAGGTTTGCCAGGATGATAAAGCACTATGTGACAGTCATTCTTATCAGCTTTTCCTCATGATCAAAGGAAATAACCCTCTGACTGGTGTGATGGAGATGACCTAAATTTCACTCCTAATGAGAACTGTCAGGTCTCAGGCAAATGGATCTAGGATTTAGAATTAAGTATTTACAAAGACACCTTACCTGACAGCATATTGTACATTTAACTGCATTCTAAATATTTCCTTTCACAGCGAAGAGTGAGCTTTTGATCCCTTGTAACTGAGAAGATTAATTTAGAGCAGAACACCCGTACTCCAAATGAAAATTCATAAATTAGTACATTATAACCAAATACAAATAAATTCTGCTGGAGGCCTTAAAATTACAACTCTCTGTCTTTTCCGAGCCATTATGGGGGTTTAAGGTGTATTGCAGATCAATACTGTAACAGCTCCGTTTGTATTTCAAACAGGTCTGTTTTTAAAAAAAGGCATAAAGGTTTGACTGCCATTTAAACTATATTGATTTTATAACTGCCAAACTTGGAGAAAAATGGAATGTGACGAGGGAATAGAGTTGTATTTTGCACTGCATGTTTCACATACAATAAATCAGGAGGCATATCAGGGGGTAAAGGAAGATTTGAAAGAAACACATTAATACAGGAAATGGTGGCCCTTATCCTGAACTCCTTTTTCAGACAAAACTCCTGTTGGTGTCACCCAGTGGTCTACCTGTCTTTCTTCTATCTAGCTGTTTATCCCATGCTCTAGGCTTTTAGCAAGCATAGGTTGGAATTTTCAGAGAAATCTAAAGGAATTATTTGCGATAAGATTTTCAAAGGTCCCAACTGACTTAGGAGGCTAATTCCACTCGACTTTTAATGAGACTTAGGATCCTAAGTCCAGATCCTCAAAGATCTTTCGGTGTCTAACTCCCATGGAATTAGGTACCTAAACACCTGTGAGGATCTGGGCCGTAGGTGCCTCAGTTACTTAGGAAATTGGACTTAGGGGCCTAAGTCACTTAGAAGATTTTGAAAATTTGACCTTAGGATGCTCAAATTCCACTGAATTTCAATGGGATTTGGGTACCTAACTCCCTTAGTCTCCTTTGAAAATCCCATACTCAATGTATAAACAATAGAATTCCTGTTGTCATAATAATAATGTAATGGTATGATGGGCATTCCAAGGTGCCCCATAAATGCCACCATAGCAGTAATAACCACAATCACCCTTTGGCCCTCAAACCAAGTGCTTAACAAAAAAAAAAAAAAAAAAAGAGAGATACATTTGCTTGGATACAGATATATTGTTTGTTTGTTTGTTTTTTCAATTGCTCAGTTTCGGGCCTGGAAGAGTGGTCATCAGGCAAGGCCATATCCCACAGAATTTCTATTTGATTCTCTCAGGCACAGCTGTGGTCACCAAGGTGGCTGTCAACAAACAGACAGGAGAGCTTTACGCCAAGACGGCTGCCTTTCTGAAGAAAGGGAAATACTTTGGGGTACATCAGTACTTTCTTGCTTGTTTGTTTTTACCCAATGTTGCGAGCATATACAGAAGAACCCTTCACATGTACAGAGTCTGATATAAAGCTCACTGAAACCAGTGGAAAGAATCCCACTGAGTCCTAATGGCTTTAGATCAGACTGAAAAGGAAGTTATTTTTTTTCACAGAATAACTTCAGTATGGTACTATGATCTCAGATCTTACTGGAAGCTCCAGATCTGGGGCTGGTGCATAGAATAGATGAAAGAGGAGTGTGTATTTGCATTGGTCAAGATCTAATGGCTAGAAGTTGATGTTCGACAAATTCAGGCTGGAATGCATACATTTTTGAATGGTGAGGGGAATTAGGCATTAGAGCAATTTACCAAGGGTTGTGATGGAATCTCCATCACTGGTAGCTTTTTAAATTGAGCTTAGACATTTTTCTAAAAAGTGTTCTTGAGTTCAAACAGGAATTAATTCAGGGAAGTCCTATTCCCTGTGTTGTACAGGAACTCAGACTTGATGATCACAGTGACCCTTCTGGCCTTAGAATCTATGAACCTCTCATGTTGCTCCAGACATTCATACCTACATTTACTTCTTTATAGTATGCCACATTAGGGTTCTGTTCCAAAGCTGTTGAAGGCAATGCCCACAATGAGAAAACAGGGAAATCTCCAGATTTTGTTCAGAGGCACATTCACTGTGCTGAACCCAGAGATCCATTCAATGTACTGAGTCGAGCTGGCTGAAAATTTTCCGCCAAAACAAAATGAAATTTTTTGAGGAAAGTGTCTGCTTTCCTTGCCAATGTCTGGCTTTTTGGTCAGAATGTGAAAACCTAATTTCTTTTTGTTTTTGACCAAAAATGTTCAGTGATGGTTCCGGAAAACCAAAAAAAATGTTGGTTTTCAGGTTTTTGGCAACAAATTCTTGTTTGTTTTCATCAAAATTTTCTGCGGGGAAAAAGAACCCATTTTCCGACTGGCTGTAGTATTGAAATCTGAGTATTTTGATTTCCCTTTGCCAGTTGTACCTCTGTTGGATACACACAATATAACAAATTATTGTTGATAGTCCTGCTGTCATTTATACCCCTGATAAGCTGTTGATTTAGAAGGGATTGCATGAGTATAATTAAGAGCAGAATCTGATATAATGTCATCCAGAAAATCTTTTAAAACTTTTCCATTAGTATGCAAAAGAAATATAAAATTAACATTACACCTGGACCCTCAGTGGCCCCGAGTTTCATCTAGAGATTGAAAACTTTCAAAAAATAGATAAATTCTGTACTTATTTTCCATTCTTATAGCAGTTTTTAAGGAAGTGTGTAGATTTTTGAAATTCAGGAGAATTTGGATATAGAATCTGTCACAACGAGAGGAATTCAATAGTAGGATCATTTTTTTCTTCTCTCCAGTGTTTGGGGGACCAGAAAGTCATTGTTTCTGTGCCTCATTCCTACTTTTACTGTGGTGGGCTTAGCACTGGGTGCAACACTATAATCTTCCTCTCTTTGGTGTTATGTAAATAATTAACAAGAAAAATGCTCCTGTGTCCCTTGTGTTCAAGGGGAAAGAAAAGGCCCAGAGGCCCAATGCTACCAAACTTTCTAGATGCATAGATTTTAAGATCAGAAGGGACCATAATAACAGTGTGCGAGTTCTAAAAACAGGAGTCCCTGAATTCATCTCCATTACTTCTGAATACTCAGAAGCGATAGTACTGGAAGTCCCAGAAAGCCCCTCTAGCTCTCCTGAACGGCATTCCAGAGTGCTCTGGCATGACTCAAGCCCTGCATTAAAATTATCTTATGCATAACACAGGCTACAGAATTTCACCATCTGATCCTGTAGCTAGCCTAACAATGTGTGGTTGAACTGAAGCATGCCCTTTAGAAAGACACCCAATCTTGATGAAAAGACTTCAAGAGATAGAGAGGTTTCAGAGTAACAGCCGTGTTAGTCTGTATTCGCAAAAAGAACAGGAGTACTTGTGGCACCTTACAGACTAACCAATTTATTTGAGCATAAGCTTTCGTGAGCTACAGCTCACTTCATCGGAATGGAAATGGCCCACCTTGATTATCACTTCAAAAGGTTTTCTCTCCCCCCATCCACTCTCCTGCTGGTAATAGCTCATCTTAAGTGATCACTCTCCTTACAATGTGTATGATAACACCCATTTTTTCATGGTCTGTGTGTATATAAATCTCCTCACTGTATTTTCCACTTTATGCATCCGATGAAGTGAGCTGTAGCTCACGAAAGTTTTGCTCAAATAAATTGGTTAGTCTCTAAGGTGCCACAAGTCCTCCTTTTCTTTTTTCAAAGGACTAATGAGATTTAGGTCTAAAATCAGGTAGAGTCAGTAGGGTGCCTACCAGTGTACATAGTGTCAATGCCTGGGGTCCTTTTGTAGCATATTCTCCTCAGAAAGTACATTTGTGGGGGTTATGTATTCCTTTGCAGGGCAATAACTTTGAATCCTGAAAGAAAAGGAGGACTTGTGGCACCTTAGAGATGAACCAATTTATTTGAGCATAAGCTTTCGTGAGCTACAGCTCACTTCATCGGATGCCCTGAGTATCACTGGTACAAGCTGAGGGGTCAGCTGTGGTCCTGAATTCCACAGAATTCACTCTTCATGGGCTGCAGGTCAGGAAACTTTTCTTCTTGAATTGTTCCCTCAAAATGAGAAGTCTGATGTGACCTTAAGTTTGGTGCTGCTACCACTTCACCAAAATATGCTAAACAGGATCCTGGTAGGGGCAGCTCATAGACATAAAACATTTAAACTTAAATGGTCCTACCAGAGACCTGAAGAAACTGTGATTTGACCTCAGAAGAGCAATCTTCACTGTAGAAGAAAACCCCTCTGGGTTCAGCACATGTATTACACTATTATTTCTCACAGAGTTCTGGGCTGTTTGCTTCTGATTTTCTATAGATTTCAGGTTGCCGGCACCCTGCAGCTCTCACTGGCTTGTTAGCCATGATTTATCCCACTAATATATACAAAGAAATATTCTTTTATTTTATTTTACGTTTTTAAAAGGCCTTTTTATAGGCACTCTCTTTAATAATTCAAATCTATTGCTTTTCCTCTTTTTAGGATGTTGCCATCTTGACGGGCGCTAGGAGAAACGCCACAGTTGTCTGTCATGATACTGTTTCTCTGTTGGCTGTTTCTAGACAGGTGAGTTTCTTCCTCAGGTGAGATACCATGTTTAATTATGATGATTTTATTTTATTTTGCCAGGGGCCCAATGGTTCAGGGTACTGAGCTCCCATAATGGTCACTGGCTTGGTCTGGACTCGAAGGTGGTTCAGTGCCTTGCAAGAGCATGGGGTACCTTGCAAGTTTGGTGAGCAGATGATTGTTCTCTCACTCATAGTGCAATTAGGGCTGATGACTCCAGGCCCTTACCTGGTCACGTGAGTAGGCTTTACTCCTATGAATAGACCCATTGACGGCAGTGGCACTAGCTCAGTAAAACTGTGAAAAATCACTTGGGGATAAACCTTGCCACTTTTATTCATGGGGAATATTACCTATCTCCACAAATAGCCCCACTGAAATCAGTGGAGTACAGCACTTCTTCATAGAATCATAGAATATCAGGGTTGGAAGGGACCTCAGGAGGTCATCTAGTCCAACCCCCTGCTCAAAGCAGGACCAATCCCCAATTAAATCATCCCAGCCAGGGCTTTGTCAAGCCTGACCTTAAAAACTTCTAAGGAAGGAGATTCTACCACCTCTCTAGATAACGCATTCCAGTGTTTCACCACCCTCCTAGTGAAGAAGTTTTTCTTAATATCCAACCTAAACCTCCCCCACTGCAACTTGAGACCATTATTCCTTGTCCTGTCCTCTTCTACCACTGAGAATAGTCTAGAACCATCCTCTCTGGAACCACCTCTCAGGTAGTTGAAAGCAGCTATCAAATCCCCCCTCATTCTTCTCTTCTGCAGACTAAACAATCCCAGTTCCCTCAGCCTCTCCTCATAAGTCATGTGTTCCAGACCCCTAATCATTTTTGTTGCCCTTCGCTGGACTCTCTCCAATTTATCCACATCCTTCTTGTAGTGTGGGGCCCAAAACTGGACACAGTACTCCAGATAAGGCCTCACCAATGTCAAATAGAGGGGGACAATCACGTCCCTCAATCTGCTGGCTATGCCCCTACTTATACATCCCAAAATGCCATTGGCCTTCTTGGCAACAAGGGCACACTGCTGAGTCATATCCAGCTTCTTGTCCACTGTCACCCCTAGGTCCTTTTCCGCAGAACTGCTGCCTAGCCATTCGGTCCCTAGTCTGTAGCTGTGCATTGGGTTCTTCCGTCCTAAATGCAGGACCCTGCACTTATCCTTATTGAACCTCATCAGATTTTTTTCGGCCCAATCCTCCAATTTGTCTAGGTCCCTCTGTATCCTATCCCTGCCCTCCAGCGTATCTACCACTCCTCCCAGTTTAGTATCATCTGCAAATTTGCTGAGAGTGCAATCCACACCATCCTCCAGATCATCTATGAAGATATTGAACAAAACCAGCCCCAGGACCGACCCCTGGGGCACTCCACTTGACACCGGCTGCCAACTAGACATGGAGCCATTGATCACTACCCGTTGAGCCCGACAATCTAGCCAACTTTCTACCCACCTTATAGTGCATTCATCCAGCCCATACTTCTTTAACTTGCTGACAAGAATACTGTGGGAGACCAACTCAAAAGCTTTGCTAAAGTCAAGAAACAATACATCCACTGCTTTCCCTTCATCCACAGAACCAGTAATCTCATCATAGAAGGCGATTAGATTAGTCAGGCATGACCTTCCCTTGGTGAATCCATGCTGACTGTTCCTGATCACTTTCCTCTCATGTAAGTGCTTCAGGATTGATTCTTTGAGGACCTGCTCCATGATTTTTCCAGGGACTGAGGTGAGGCTGACTGGCCTGTAGTTCCCAGGATCCTCCTTCTTCCCTTTTTTAAAGATTGGCACTACATTAGCCTTCATGGTAGTAAAAGAGAAAAACTGGCTCTTAATTTTTTTGTTTGATGAGCCATGGCATCAAGGCATTCGGGACCGGATTCTGATCTCAGCTAAACTGGTCTAAATCAGGAGTGACTACTCTCAAGTCAACAGAGTTAAACTGATGTAAATGAGAGGAGAGTCAGACCCTCGATCTCCAGCTGTGCCCATCATTAGCAGTGGAAGTTGAATAATATTTTATGTTAAACTCCAGGATCTTGCAAAACATTTTCAGGAATGTTGTTGCCATGCAAACATTTTGGATCAAGTCTCTGTGTGTGCGCAGCTCCTATTGACTTAAGTGGGAGTTGACCATAACTCTCTTATGGCAGGATTTCTTCTTATCTACTGACAAAAAATAGGTCCAGAAAAAGGTGAAGTAGGGAGGCATGTCTAGGCTTGCAGATGATGAAAGATTACGAGCACATCTACACTGCAAAATCAACAACAACAACGCTGCAGCAGCGTACCTCAGCCTGGGTTTCCAGACTTGGGGCTCACGAGGCTTGTTCTACAGTACTAAAAATAGCAATGGAGACATTCCCAGGCAGGCTGGAACTTGGGCACTGAGACCCAGCCCTCTTGAGAATGCCTACACTGCTATTTTTAGTGCCATAGCGCAAGCCTGAGGGTACTTGGCTTTGCTGAGTCAGGAGCTGACTCAGCACATCGGTCACTCAAATCGCCACCAATATAGGTCAATTGGAACCGAACTGGAAGATCAATTAACAGAGTGGAGCTACAGCTGAGGGGCTAATTTGAGGGGGGACGCAACCCCAGCAGTTGGGAACATATAAATTGAAAGGAAGGAAGCTTTGGGGTTTGAGTGGAGAGCCTGAGTGAAGGAAGGGTGGAGATAGGCAGCCCTGGTGGCTGTGAGTACTGCTCCCTTCCCTAGATGCAGATAGGGAAGCTGGCTATGGAATGTAAAGATATGTACTGTGACAAAGTTCCTGCTCTACCTTGGTGGGTCTTGCGCTTATTGGCGGATTTGCTCGCCTTGGAGCTTCACGGCAGCCCTCAGCTTGGCCGTTTTTCTGAACCCACAGTCCAGGTCGACTCCTCCTGTGTCTGACCAGGAGTTGGGAGGATTTGGGGGGAACCCGGGCCCGTCCTCTACTCCGGGTTCCGGCCCAGGGCCCTGTGGAATGCAGCTGTCTAGAGTGCCTCCTGGAACAGCTGTGTGACAGCTACAACTCCCTGGGCTACTTCCCCGTGGCCTCCTCCCAACACCTTCTTTATCCTCACCATAGGACCTTCCTCCTGGTGTCTGATAATGCTTGTACTCCCCAGTCCTCCAACAGTCCACATTCTCACTCTCAGCTCCTAGTGCCTCTTGCTCCCAGCTCCTCACACGCACACCACAAACTGAAGTGAGCTCCTTTTTAAAACCCATGTGCCATGATTAGCCTGCCTTAATTGATTCTAGCAGCTTCTTGATTGGCTGCCGGTGTTCTAATCAGCCTGTCTTAATGGTCTCCAGAAGGTTCCTGATTGTTCTGGAACCTTCCTTGTTAGGAAACGGAACGTCTTTTGCTTGCTCCTCAGCTATCTGCTTTCTATTCTTTCCTAAAGCCCCCTGGCCCGGATTTTTCTTACTTTTTGCACCTGCCTTAGTCCCCCCCCGACCGGGCCAGACGCCTTTTTGTTTTTTCTTTTCATTTTTTGTGTTTTTTTTCCGTCTACGTCCTTCGCCAACATCCGCCCCCCCCACGTCTGCCTTCGGGCGCAGCTACTTGCCTCAGCTGAGCCCCCGGAGGAGGGGGGGGAAGATTGCCGATTTGCTGTCCGGGGGGGGGGGAGTGGAAACCCCCAGACCCAGCCGTCTTGCCAGCAGCTCGGACGTTACAGCATTCTTAATATGCCGAAG